GTCCCCAGTTGTCCCTCCCCTGCCCCCTGGGACTCACCTGGGCTGGGTGGCCGGGATGATGGGTTCCGGGCGCCTCTTGGCCTGGGGGGCTTCGTCCTCCAGGGGGTTGGTGGCCGCCCCCTGGGAGCCCAGGACGGAGATGGCCTGGCCCTGCGCCAGCGCCGACAGCCGCCGCTTGATCACCACGCTCTCGGGCTTGGCCAACTTCTCCTCCTTGGGCTCCTCCTTCAGGTGCTTGGTCTGCTCCACCCCTGCAGCACCAGGGAACCGGGGCTTGGGTTGGAAGGACCTTCAAGGTCATGGAGGTCCTGGTGCTGCGTGGGCAGGGGAAGCTCCCGTGGAGCAGGTGGCTCCAGGTCCCGTCCAACCTGGCCCTGAACACCTGGGGCAGCCACCCTGAACACCACTGGATCATCTGAGAGACCAACTAGTGGGTCATCTTGAAGATCATCTACTGGATCATCTTAAAGATCATCTTAAAAACCATCTACTAGATCATCTTAGACACCATCTAGTCAATCATCTTAAAGACCATCTAGTAGATCATCTTAGAAATCATCTAGGGGATCATGCTGAAGACCATCTAGTGGATCATCTTGAAAATCATCTAGTGGATCATCTTAGAGACCATCTAGTGGATCATCTTGAAGATTATCTAGTGGATCATCTTAAAGACCATCTAGTGGGTCATCTTAGAGATCATCTAATGGATCACCTTGAAGATCATCTAGTGAATCATCTTAAAGACCATCTAGTAGATTATCTTAGAGATCATCTAGGGGATCATGCTGAAGACCATCTAGTGGATCATCTTAAAGACCATCTAGTGGATCATCTTAGAGATCATCTAATGAATCATCTTAAAGACCATCTAGGATCATCTTAGAGACCACCTAGAGGATCATCTTAAACACCATCTAGTAGATCATCTGAAAGACCATTTAGATCCAAGCCCCCACCTCCACCAGAGCAGGTGGCTCCAGGTCCCATCCAACCTGGCCCTGAACACCTGGGGCAACCACCCTGAAGATGATCCTAGTGGATCATCTAGTGGAAACAGCTCTTCTTGGCTCTTCATCCTAGAATGGGTTGGGCTGGAGGAACCTCCAAGGTCAGCCAGTCTAGAGCATCCAGATCATCTGGATGATCCACAAGATGATCTTCAAGGTGGCTGCTCCATCCCTTGAAGTGTCCAAGGGCAGGTTGGATGGGGCTTGGAGCAACCTGGGCTGGTGGGGGGTGTCCCTGCCCATGGGGGGGGTTGGATCTAGATGATCTTGAAGGTCCCTTCCAACCCAAACCATCCCATGATCTAAAAATATTGGAGAACCACCTTCCTTGACCTCCCCTGTCCCACCACCTTGGCTTGATGGAAGCCATCAAAGGAGGGGACACCCAGGGGACATCTCCAGGTGGGCTCTTACCACCAAGTCAAGGTGGAGAACCATCTCCCTTGACCTCCCACCTCATCTGATGGAGGCCACCAGAGGAGGGGACACCAGGATGTGGCTGTAGAACCCATCCCACTTCTTCAGGTGGGCTCTCACCACCAGGTCAAGGTGGAGAACCACGTTCCTTGACCTCCCACCTTGTCTGATGGAGGACACCCCAACATGGCTTGATGGAAGCCATCAAAGGAGGGGACACCCAGGGGACATCTCCAGGTGGGCTCTTACCACCAAGTCAAGGTGGAGAACCATCTCCCTTGACCTCCCACCTCATCTGATGGAGGCCACCAGAGGAGGGGACACCAGGATGTGGCTGTAGAACCCATCCCACTTCTTCAGGTGGGCTCTCACCACCAAGGTGGAGAACCATCTCCCTTGACCTCTCCTGTCCCACCACCTTGTCTGATGGAGAGCAGCAGAGGGGGGGACCCCCAAGGGGAGTGTCTCACCTGGCCCCAGCCCTGCTGCTGTCATCTGGGTGGCCATCAGACGAGCCAGGTGCTTGATCTGGGCCTCGGTCCCCGCCGACTCCACCGGGGTGTAGGTGGCCTGGAAGGAGGCAGGCATGGCCTCGGGCAGGTACACCATGCTGATCAACACCTGGGGACACACCCAAAGGTCACAACCCCACCTGGAGGTGACACCAAACCTCTCCCCCCCCCTGAGGTCCTTGTCACCCCACCAGGTTGGCCACGTTCTCTGGGGTCAGGAGGGGCTGGAGGAACTCGGCCGTGATGTCGGTGTCTGAGGGGACGTTGGTTTGACCAGTGGCCTTGGGGGTGGTCAGTGGTGGCACCTCCAGGTCTTTGTCCTCATCATCTTCACCCAGTGGAGGCTCTGCCAGGACAAGGAGATGATGGGAGGGATGGAAATCAAGGTCCCCTCAGGGTCCCCAACAGGTTGTGGGGACCCGGAGAGGGAGAAGGTCCCATCACCAATGGTCACCAAGAGGGAGTGGGGACGTTTGGTGGCACCAGCAGAACCAGGAGAGCACTGGGAGGGTCTCAGGACGGGTTGGGAAAAGTTGTAGGGTCTTTAATGTCACCGTCTTGTCCCCCAGGAGGGAGTGGGAGGAGGTGAGGGGACATTTGGTGGCACCACCAGCCCCGGGAGAGCAGCAGGAGGATGTTGAGATGGGCTGGGAGGACTTGGGGGTTTAATGTCACCAGGAAGGACTGGGAGGAACCTGAGGGGCACCAGGAGGACCTGAAGGGGCACCAGGAGGACATTGTGGGGCACCAGGAGGACATTAAGGGCACAAGGAGGACCCTGAGGGGCACCAGGAGGACATTAAGGGGCACCAGGAGGACACGAAGGGGCACCAGGAGGACCTGAAGGGGCACCAGAAGGACATTAAGGGCACCAGGAGGACCCTGAGGGGCACCAGGAGGACATTGTGGGGCACCAGGAGGACATTGAGGGGCACCAGGAGGACATTGAGGGGCATCAGGAGGACATTGAGGGCCACCAGGAGGACATTGAGGGGCACCAGGAGGACATTGAGGGGCATCAGGAGGACCTGAAGGGGCACCAGAAGGACATTGAGGGGCACTAGAAGGACCCCAAGGAGCATCAGGAGGCCAGGAAGGGCCACCAAGAAGATATGGAGGGCCACCAGGAGGCCAGGAAGGGCCACCAGGAGTCCATTGAGGGCCACCAAAAGGACATCAAGGAACACCAGGAGGACACTGAGGGGCACCAGGAGGCCAGGAAGGAGCACCAGGAGGACATTAAAGGACATCAGGAGGACATTGAGGGACATCAGGAAGACATCAAGGGGCACCAGAAGGACCCCAAGGGACACCAGGAGGCCAGGAAGGGCCACCAGGAGGTCATTGAGGGCCACCAGGACATTGGGGGGCACCAAAAGGACATCAAGGAACACCAGGAGGACATTGAGGGGCACCAAAAGGACATCAAGGAACACCAGGAGGACACTGAGGGCCACCAGGACATTGAGGGGCACCAGAAGGACCCCAAGG